GAGGCCAACCCGGACAAGATAAAAGCCATCCTAGATATGAGACCACCCCGGAAAGTAAAAGAAGTTCAGAGGCTAAACAGTCGCATAGCCGCTCTAAGCCGCTTCATGTCCAAATCAGCAGACCACTGCCTACCCTTCTTCAAAGCAATAAAAGGCAAAGGATTCGAATGAACCCAAGACTGCCAACTCGCGTTTGACAAGCTAAAAAGTTACCTCGCTAGTGTGCCAACCTTAGCCCGGCCCGAGGAGGGCGAAGTCTTAGAACTGTACCTCTCGGCAAGGGACGAGGTGGTCAGTTTAGTACTAATAAAAGAAGCAGACTGGGTCCAGCGACCCATCTATTATGTTAGTAAAATTTTGTAGGGAGCAGAGACAAGGTACCCGCAGATAGAAAAGCTAGCATACACACTGGTGATAGCAGCTCAGAAACTCCGCCCGTACTTCCAGGCTCACACCGTCATCGTCCTGACTGACAAACCTCTGAGGCAAGTTTTATTCAAACCCGAGGTTTCCGGTCGACTGACAAAATGGGCCATCAAACTCAGCGAGTATGACCTCCAGTACAAGCCAAGAACTGCTATTAAGGCCCAAGCCTTGGCAGATTTTATCGCCGAGTGCACATTTAGCCTCGAAGCCCCTGAGCCGGTCGAGCCTGAGATCCCCAGTTCAGGCGAGCTCGAAGCTCCCAAGCCAATAGAGTCCGAACCCCGTGAAGTAGCAGCTAGTGTAGCATCTCTCCTGGTTAGGCCAAACGCGAACTGGGATGAGGAGCCCTGGATCCTTCACGTAGATGGCTCCTCGAACCAGCAGGGCAGCGGGGCTGGAATAGTGCTACGCGGCCCGAGCGGAACAAAATTGGAATACGCACTACGCTTTGAGTTCGCGGCATCCAACAACAAGGTAGAGTACGAGGCACTGATAGCCGGGCTGAACCTAGCACACAAGGTCAGAGCAAAGCACGTAGTTATCTGTAGTGATTCCCAGCTCGTAGTTAACCAAGTTACAGGCAAGTACGAAGCACGCGAGCTCACTATGATTGCATACTTGGCAAAAGTAAAGAGGCTCTGCTCAACTTCCAGTCACACTTCATCAGGCAAATCCCGAGGTCAGAGAACACTGAGGCCGACGCCCTGTCCCGGCTAGCCAGCACTAGTCACAACGCCCTGAGAACTGTGTACATAGAGGACTTACCTCGGCCCAGCATTCTCGATGGGGCAGAAGAGGTCGCTCCCATCCTTGAAGCAGAGCCGAGCTGGATCGACCCACTCGCGAGCTTCCTGCTAGATGGAACCCTCCCTGCAGA